ATATAAAATCAATGTTCAGTATGTACGCCCTGTGGTACTGGCGGGCTCGCGATTTCACAGCTTTGGCGGAACCAATATAATAACGAAAAACATCTGAGCTAGCGATAATATTCTGCAAAAGGCCATGGTTATTGTACTCACAATCCGGCATGCAAATGGCTGTAACCGTTATGGAATATATATATGCGTGTTAAACGCTCTATGAGCCCCTTTTTCCGCTAACATAATTTGCTATCTGGGTTGAATTTGATCTGGAATAGTGCTTCATGAATGTCCTGAGTGTTTGGATGCTCCTAGGCCTGCCTCCCAGAGTCCCAACACAGAGTAATAAGCAAACCCTGTCTGTGTTGTCTGCATACGGTATCGTGCATAAGTCGTCTAGTCTTTATTTAGGGTTGTGAACAATTTGGAACAGCTCCCGGTGCATAGAGCATATAACCATCTGTCTGCATACGGTATCGTACACCAGGCCTCTAGTCTTTATTTAGGGCTGTGAACAATTTGGAACAGCTCCCGGTGAATGGAGCATATGACCATCTCTAACATCAGCAAGTAGGTACACTTGTGCTTATTTCTACACAGCCTAAAGCCCAAGAAGAAGTTGAACAGGTGTTGCTAGAAGGTAAGGTGGAAAGTTTATCGTCATTCGTATACCTCCATAAATCAGCTTGCATTCGTACTTGCCATGGTACGAGTTATCCGTTGTGGCATGGCAAGTTTGTAAGCATGATGTCTACCAGAAGAGAGAATCACACCATGGCAGCGCAAATTCTACTGATGAACTGTGTTGTGCCACTACATTACACGGGAGTATTTGCGGTAAGTGAATAACACGTACTTGGGAACGTTTATTTTCTATATTGCATATTTCACGTAGCGCAACTGTATACTTATTCTGTGCCTGCATATCCCCGAGTCCTAAGAGCGCTAAGGTAATGAACATCCACAGCCTTGCTTTACGCTTGTACAGGTCCACCACTTCGGGCACGCTTTGAGCCCCATCAACCTGGCACGACGACATCATTCTAAATTCTTGCGAATTCTATGGGATAACCGATGCTGTCGCAAGGATGTGAGCGTCATCTAGAGCGTGCAGTATATGGGGCTCTCGCATCGCATGAGTGCAAAATGTGCAAGAGCACGTGTGGACGGTGGAGATGCCCAGAAAATCACCGGTGCAAAGCAAACAGGCTAGTGAAATCGGAGTACGTGCTATTCGATAGCATCTCTTTGAGCTGTCAGTGTAATTGCATTGTTGGGCGGGGGTTTTCAGGGGTCTATATCATATGGTACGTCCTCCATTTATCTTATAACACCAGCTTGTGGGTACTGCCTATTGTGTCTGCCCATGAGTACTGATCGAGCTGCGTCGGGGCGAATGGTTGTGATCCTGTAGCATCTCTCGGAGGTGCACGCGCCCCACAACAAATATCGGTTTACATGCTGCGGCCGCCTTGTGCATCAAGTGATCCGAGCTGTACAGCATTTGCGTGTCTCCTTAAGACAAATACGGCGGATGTTTCGTATGGCCTGTTCCAACATTAGTATGTGGGTACAGCCATATATGCCGACCCCCAAAAAAGACAACTGCATACATTGGGGCTTATTCACACTTTGACATATGCATATTTGTCTTCGAGTTGAAATTTTCGTCTAGCAGCAAAGTAAGTACTCACACAAAACATGCTACGCTGGAGTTCCAACGGCATAGTTGTGAAGCACCCGCAGGAGCGGATGATAGCACGCTTATCTTGACCGGAGTTCAAGGAAATATAGATGTCGAGTTTGCAATAACAAACTGGTATCCCTTGTCATAAAGGCCTCATTAGCTATGGCATCTACACAGGCATTCGTCCTGCAATTATTGAGTCTGTGACTGCTGGTAGAACTGCGTCAAGTAGTCACAACAAATACAATTCAGTTTTGATGGAATATCCACGGTAAATGCTGTCCTTCGTCCTCTAAAGTGTGGACGCGCACCATGCTGTATTCAACGGTGGGCTGCTGCGCATGACTCGTTGGCATCGGCAGTTGCATTGCAGGACAGCAAAACAGTACTGAGAACACGCATGGCTCACATCGACACAGGAATATCTGACGGTTGTGTGTGGACCTCATCACTTGGAAGAGCCCAGCTCAACTGTCTTCAGGCACAGGCGCTTTCATGCCTTTACGGCCCAAAACGGCTTGCACTTCGTGAGGAGTGTACCAGTTATCGGATGTGTGGACAAGACAATGAGCGCCATGTATGGGGAAGGGCAAACTTACAGCAAGGTGAGGAGAGTTTGCAGATGGTCTGCCGAAGAAGCAGCTGGGGTTAACGCAGGTCAGTGAAACAACGACGACGCATTCCCGATTGATATCAACTCTCCTGTATTAGTTGCGGTCCGCTCAATGTTTTAGCCCGTTGGCACGCAGTGTGGAGCACTTGCATCCTTCCTTGAAACGGCTGGGGGCGACGTTGCATACGCCCTTTGTCAACACCAGCTTGTGGGTATTGCCATATATGCCGGCCGAAACAGGCGAATTCCCTCACTGCCTGTGTGGCAAGGGCTGAGGG